TGTAAACACGGCCCCCGGGGATGTTTCACCTCACCTCCTTGGCGGGTGTCCTGCTTCCAGTTTGGCGAGTGGAGGAGTGCTCTTGTCAGGGCTGGAGTACAGTAGGGAACGTGCTAATTATCACTAAGCTTTAATTGTAAGCAGTGTTTCTGTTGTTGTGCTTAAGTGCAGCCTGCTGCATTGTATTTACGTAAATAGTATCCTGTGGATCTGTTTTTCCCTTAACATGTTCAAAGCTCTGAAATCAAGTGTGACAGCTGCATATTTTACTGTGTTTGAAAAGAAATACGCAGTCGTAAGGCTTACTTATTGGGGCAGAAACGTGTTTATCTTTAATGTTGGTGTTTGTTCCTGAACACTTTCATAAACTTTTGTGCCATTAGTGGGAATTATATTTTAGTTTTGGCCTTTCTGAGTGATTTCACATTCTATGTGGAGCTCACCTTAATAGCACTTTAGCCCTATAAAGTGGAGCGTACGCTTGACGCAAGTGTTGGAATCAGGGTAACTGAAATACTCGTGAGCATACGCAGGAGAAAGTTGTAAGTGAATGCAGGACTGGGCTTTGGTCACTTACTATTAAAAATAGCTTATCATAGAGCAAGCCTGATAGTTTTAATTGCTGTTATTTTATAACTGAAAGACTAATTTCTCTTTGAAAACTAGGGGTCGGTATTGTTTCTTGGAGGCAATGAAGTGAAGAGCAGCGCTGTGGTGAAATACTCGTCTGCCCCACCACAAGCAGCCTTTGCCCGTCTTCAGGAAAAAACAGACTTGAAACTTCCACCTGCCAATTGGTTACGTGAAAGCGCTAAGCTGGGACCAGCAGGTACAACCATTCTTGGCAACAACAAAAAAAGTAAACCATTTTCAAGGTGGGTAACAGCTGGCCCTATTTTTTTCTGGGCCTTTAAGAATAATTCTAATGGTGAACTTGGACCCTATGTAATTCGAAGTATAAAGTACAGACTTTACCATAGCAACTAGCTGTTGCTTTTTCTTAACCATTTTCTCTCTACTTTTTCATCCTTAGTTCTTGCCTGTATGCTATAATCTTGTCTGCTTTGTAAATGACTAACGATGCTTGATAATGTTCTTCATCATTATTTTTTTCAAGTGTGTGTTGACTCCTTGGCCGAGACAGTCAAACTGACTTCATGTTCTTCCCTGGTTGGCTGTTGTTGGTTGACTAAAATCAAACTAGACTGCTTCAGCTAGCCATTCTGCTTTTGATAAGAGGTGAAAATGGAACAAATGTGACTTCCCTTGAAAATTACAGATCCAATTTATGGATCTTTAGAAACTGGACCTGGCAAAAGAAATTCCATAGTCATGTCGAGTGAACACAGAAGGTGAAATAAGGGGCAAAACCAAAAAGCAGTGTTACCTTTCGATAGGGATGTTTGTTAGATAGTTGGATGACTTGAGTTCACAGTGTTTATAAATAGGAGGCTTAAATTCTGTGCTGAATAAGGAAAGTCACACTAAGTCAACTAGTTAGTGAAATTTAACAGTTTGTGGAGGGTCTGTGTTTAAATCCTCATGATCTGTTTTAGGAGATGTACATTTTTGAGCGGAGTAACATGTTTCTTAGGGCTTTATAAATTTTTCCTGTTTATTTTGGAGATTATATTTGTCAAATAGAGGCTGGCAGTTTAATTTCCCTGTCTCTAGTGTCAGTATTAAAAAGCTAATAGCGAAAGTATAGCTTTGGACACCTGCACATCATGTATTTGTTTGGGTTATAGTAATTTCTGGTTTAATTTTAAAGAATGATCCATACATGGAAATAGTCAAACTTAAATAGCTTGTAATTTAGAGAGGCCTTAATGAGGGTGGATGAAGATCCAAGGATGTGTCAGTTACAACATGCAGGCCAGTTTTAGAAAACATAAATAAGAGGTAAAATGAAATGACAGCTGCTGCAATGAAAGTATTTAATGTGCTTAATGCCTTAAAGAGAAACTCCTTGAATAACTATTCTCATTTTTAGTGCTAAAAAAAATTAAAAACTCACTTTCTCTAATTTCCCATAGCTGTCTTTAGCAAACACTTTAAATAGCTCTAATTTTCTTGATTTCAACAAAACTTAAACTACCTTTTAGAATATCTTGAAATTGGATCTAAGCACTTCCAAAGATATCTTTGAAAAACTACTAGAATGTAAAAATGAAATGATTTTAATTAACTTTAGATCTCTTACACCTGGTAATGTTTACCTAGCCTTTCTTTATGAAGAAAAAATTTTCAAAGATTTAATAAGCTTAAAAAACCCAGGTCTCTACTTACTGTCACACTGCAATTGTTTTAACTTGTAATATTTTTCTAAATAGCTTTGGGATGGCATATGACTTCATTGACTCAGTTGGAAATGATGTAGATGTTGTGTCTGATTCAGAGGTATGTATAACTGCTTAAGTTCTATGGTTCAAACTCTTACATTGTATAAACCTTATTTTAAGACACTGTCATGGCTTCTGTCATCTTTGTGTCCTTTCAGAAAAAGATCCCCTAGTGAAACACAAACAGATCACCTAACTTTTGCTCTGTCATTTAAGGGAGTTGTGATCACTGAATAAGAAATATAAACTCATATTTCCTATGGATTTCTACAAATAATATTCAGCAAAATATGCAGTTTAGTGAATTGAGCACATCAGTCTTGCAATGTAGTTGTCATGTGTGTTTGAAATTGGTTATTTTGATGTAAATTATTGCTTTCAAGATTACTTTGTTCTTACCTAGAAGAGATAGCCCCCTTCCAACTTTCTTCTTTCCTCTGATTTTTGCCAGCTTTTTGGTGCTGGTAATATCTGTAGAATTCAGATGAGGCTATTCAGAAGAGAAAACGTACGTACTCATTTACTGTGTCAGTATTGAAGTTTGGCAGATTTTTATTCAGACTTAGATCTCTGTCCAGATTCCTCTGGATATCTGACAAAGTGTTGGTATTCCTGCGATGAAGAATAAGCCTTTACAATCCAAACCATCCACTTGCATTTTTTGTCGCTTTTGACGATACCTGGTTGTGATGATCCAAAGGTCATGTTTAAACCATGTATGTGGTTTGTACTGACTGCTTGGTCTCTTCATCACTGTCATTCATGTTCTCTGACCTCAACAAATGGAACTTCTTCTGGAATGGCCTTCTTAGAATCACTGGCGCTATAAGGTTTTATTTGCCTGCCCATGCCTCTCCAATGTTAGTAGTGTATTCTTTGCTTACAGTTTCCAAAGAATTGTCTTACAACGCAGTGTGATTGTATTGACTGTTATCTCTGTCTTCTTTTCTCCTGCAAGAATATTAAAAAACTTCTGAAGATACCTTATAGCAAGTCACATGTGAGCATGGCAGTACATCGCATTGGGCGGACACTTTTGTTGGATGAGCTAGATATTCAAGAACTCTTCATGAGATCATCTCAGGTTAACCACTTGGTTTTTAACTATGTCATATGGTCAAAATGCGTTATTTCAAGAATAGCGTAGCCAGCAAGAAAGCATGGATGTATCAAAATTCCTGAGAATCATATGCGAGTACAAAAGGTGCCCTATTCTGTGCCAGTTGATTTACCTGTGAACTGCATCTGATGTCCTATATTTGTGGTATTGTAGGATTAAAATTCCATGTCCTACTTCCCTGTAATTACTTCAGTAGTGCTATACTATTTTATTAATTTTATTATTAGTAAGTATTTGTTACTGTGTAACCTCTTACCATGTATCTGACTTTTTAATTAAGTCAACTTTTCAGTAAGAACATAACTTTTCTAGAAGACATTTTCAATAAATGACCGAATCAAGACTTTAGCTGTGAAGTTATTTTCTGGGTTTCTTTTTGGATGAGTATTCATAAGGCACTTGATTTACTTTGCAGATATTTCTTGATATTAATTTCATATTTATGATATTCCCTAGACAGGGGACTGGACATGGCTGAAAGAGTTTTATCAAAGGCTGATTGATCAGAAGTGGCAACGAAAAAAGAAGAGTAAAGAGCATTGGTACCAGAAGGCAATACTTTCTAAATTTTTGTATTACAGGTAACCTTACGTCTGCGTAGATCTTGAATTCTGCAGTACTTACTTTTACCTGGTTTCTTGTTTTGAAGTAAATGTTAAAATTCTATTATGGCCTGTCTTAATTACTGATTTATCCTTATACGGAGGAAATTGAGGCATGAGATCAGGAAATAACATGTGAATGTTTTAACAGAAATGTAAATATTTTAAAGTAAAATTAAACAATAAAATAAACAGCATGACTTAATTAACTGCATATCTCAGTATTTCTGGGTTGGGGGAAGAATGACTTAAAATATGCAAGGTAGATTGTGACACCTGCTGTAATTTTGTAAGAGTTTCAGCAATGAACAACTTGTCAATATAGCAATCTTTTAGCATACTAGTAAAGTCATTCTTTGAGAACAGTGCATCAAATATAACAATTCTAAAATGAATCTGTTTGCATATTGTCAACTGAACTTTTTAATGTTGCTTTGTCAGCATTAATGGTGATGGAGCTGCTCAGCCTGTTCCTTCCACTTCAAAACAGCACCAGGAGGGTCCTGTTTCAGGTGAGAGTGATGAAGCAGGAAGGGCCTCCTGGCCAGCTCCTTTTGAAATGCCTTCTTCCTTGTCTGAAGATCCAGGTGCCTCTAACCAGGTTAGTGTATACAATGTTTTAAATGGCACCTTAGTTTTTGTAGAGAGATATATGTTGAAAGGTTTTCAGAGGTGCTACTGCAGTACTCTTTGCTGAAAGAAATGAACTAAAGCATTAGAAGAACTTGGCAGTATGTGTGGTTTAGCTTATGCCAGTGTTTCAGAGCTCCAAATTTCAGAGATTATTTTTTTCTGTCACTGTAATACTAAATACATACTTAGCCATGCATTTTTGAGAAACAAAACACTTTGCTAGGGGTAGTCATTAATGACTTTACCTAAAAGTAGGAAAATTGGAAGGTGTGTATGGAAGCCTAAGGTTTTGGCTTTTCTTTTTAAGTCTGCCTTTAAAATGAATCTGTTGTGGCCCTGAATTTGTTCGGTGAAGAGGAAAATGAAGATCTATGCCTAACTGTTTTGCAAACGTTTTCAATGTTTACAAATGCTTGTTCTGAGATTACACAAGTGGATGGGGGAGATGTTTATAGTAATTATGCAACAAACTATGACCAGTATTAGGCCGTAAGCCAGGGTTTCCGTCTGTGGCTAAGCTTATTTATGAAAACTGTTAATTCCTGTGGTTTTTGAGTAGTGTGATACAGGCATTGATTAAATTTTTGAGAAGCTGAGAGATCTGTTGTAGTCAGTCTGCATTAGTATAATAATGATACTATGGTTATGCTTAGACAGTATTACCAACTGGTATGCCAAATGACTTGGTCAGCTAGCTTATGAAGGCTCTGACCTACGTTATCCATAAAATTGTAGATGCATGTGTTGTGGTGTAGTAATATTCTAAAGTGGAGAAATATTTCGGTCCTTCAAAGCTTTTAGAAAAAATACTACTTCTCTCTTCTGCCTTTTTGAGGAACTGTTGCCTAATACAGCAGACTCTGTATCATAAAGAAGCTGTTGTGCATTTGTACGGTGTCATTTTCTTTAATTTATAAGACATCAGGATAGAGGTTTTGCTTCTGGAGACTGATAATCTGGTGCTGACCTTGGAGTAATAAAGTTTCTATAAATGCTTTCTGATTTCTTTCCAAAGCATCTGAGAATATAAAGATCAAAATTTTGGTACTAGCTGTAGAAAAGGAGCATTCTAGTCATTGACTAGAGGCTTTTTGTAGCTTAATGCATATTTATTTAGAGATGTTAAAGCTAAAGGTTTTTTTCCTTATATACTTCTGTTTTTCAAATTTTTTTTTTTTTAATGGCCTAACTGTACCTCAGCAGCAGAATCACTCCTTATCCTTGTGCTTTTCACAGGGAAGTGTGCCTCTTGAACCCTCATATATAGTGGGGCATGTGGCCTCAGCCCCCAAAGAACAAAACCTGACTACTTTGTTCAATGACGGGGAAAACAGTCAGGTATGCTGTATGTGAAATTTGAGCTCAAACACTGAACCCCCAATTTAATCAAACATTTTAAAATTTGGTCTAAATTGGAACCACAAGAAAAACTAAGTCCCCTGTAGAAGTAGCTTTTGTGGCATCTGTGATCTCAGTTGTTTTAAGTTAATGTGAATGCATAGCATAGTTCATTATGTGCTGTCTTTTATTTGCTGCTTTTGCTTCTTGCTTTCTCATAATTCCGCAGAATGTCATAAAGAACAAGTTTTATACTAGGGATTTACAGACCAATTTTTCTTTTAATGAAGGGACTTAAAAATGACTTTGTTCGTAATATCTTGTGGACCTTTGAAGATATCCACATGTTGGTAGGATCAAATATGCCTATATTTGGAGGTGGGAGGTATCCTGCTGTGAGCTTGCGTCTCAGGTGAGTTTTGAAGTTAACGAGATGGGTATGCCAGTCTTGACTGACTTGTTGCTTTGCTTCCTATTTAGCTGTCTGCATTTGGTTTAGTTGACTCTTAATTTTTATGTACAGTTTAAAGAATAAAATTTATGCTTTAGACTTAAATGGTGATGGTGTTGTAAAGTGCAGGAAAACAGAAACAGTCCTAATGCTGTTCCACTGCACTGGGACTTGAGATGCTCTGCTGATTTTTCTGGTTCTGTAACTAAGTCTTTATTTGAAAGTACTGGCAGCTTGCAACCTTTCTTGACTTCAGTGTGAATGTTGAGTGTTAAAACAGTTCTGTACATCTAGTCCTTAGTTTCATTCTATTGGTATTTTTATAAAAGAGGGCAGTAATATTTCTCCTACTGGAATTCTGAATTTCAGTAGCTGCTAGTTGGGCATAAGTACTTAAAACTTGTGTCTATAGTAGTTCTAAGTTCCAACTGCCTTACTGTTCACTAGTACTTTATGTTGATCACTTGATTACCGGTTTTTCTCTTCCTTCATATGTGTAGGCAAAGAATGAAGGAAAACTTGAAACTCACTTGGTGTATTTGTCATCTTTTTAAGACACGTCTAGGAATTGACAGTATCTGGCTTTTCAAGGAATTTTGGAGTGTCTGAGAGAAGGCTTGTGCTATAATTAGTTGCAGCTAATACTGCTTTACCTTTAGAACTTCTTAAGTACTTATCTTGATAATAGTATGGCATCTGAAGCTTGTTAAAGTTTCAGTATAAGTGTAGGCAAAAATGCAAGATTGCTGAGGGAGTGTGAGTGTATGCCATTACAGAGATCAGTATATCTGTTTTGTTTGATATAACTCATTGTTGTAACAATTCGCAAATAATTGTTTTGGTATCTGTCCACTCTTAAGTGACTCAAATCTAAATCCCATTAGTTAACATCCCTAATATTTTTCTGAAGATTAAATAAAGACTTAAATAACACTAGAAATACTTGGTTTTAGGGATAACAACAAGCCAATAAATGTGCTGACAGGAATTGACTATTGGTTGGACAACTTAATATGCAATGTACCGGAGCTTGTGATGTGCTTTCATGTTAATGGAATTGTTCAGGTAAGTCTGGCTCTTTGCTTTAAGCCTAGTTAATCCATTCTCCAGTTTCTGAAATTGCTCCAATTGTAACAGATCTCTTTCTAAACTTACTGTTTGGCAAAAAGATTCCAAAAATCCTTTATTGCAGAATGAGAATCATCTACACAGCTTGCAATAGTCATCCAAAAATACTGTGTTGTTTTGGTTTTTTTCCTCCCTTCCATGCATGCAAGATTCCTTCTTCCCCTGATCTATAATTGAAGGCAAAAATTAAAAAATATAGCAGCAGAAATACATCAATTTGTTGCATCTTGAAAGCTATAGTGTTCACTTGCCAAGATAGATGCCTGCTTTTTAAACTTTTGGTTTTGCTATTTTACAGTAGACTGCACATACCAGCTGAGTTTCTGTTGTACCTGGTAGGATATAGTTGCTTACTAGACTGAGTAGGTTTCATTGAAGTAATAGTTAGATGTTGCACCTTCACCACTTTTTTCACCTTTTGTTGTCCATTTTCCATGTTTGTCACAGAAGTGAATCCTCTTTAAAGCTTTTATTGAGTAGTGCTATCAAGATGTGCTTGCTTTTAAAGTGAACCATAGAAATTAACTCAATTTATCATGATGCTGTATCATAATAGTAGCCTTTGTTTCTTTTAGCAGTTGATAGAGACACTGATCTATAGATTTTGGGGACTAGGTGGGAGAAAACCCTCCTAATCTTCAGTTTTAACATATATTTCTTGCAGAAATATGAAATGATCAAGACTGAAGATATTCCCAATTTGGAAAACTCTAATTTTTCTACCAAAGTGATAAAAGATATTGCTCAAAATATCTTATCTTTTCTGAAATCAAATTGCACCAAAGAAGGACATACTTACTGGTTGTTTAAAGGCAAGTATAGATCAATTTGAAAAGATTTATGTTAGTGTCATGTTGATTAATGAAAGACCTTACCTTTCAGCAAGTGGGAGTGATATAGTAAAGCTCTATGACCTAACCACCCTTTGTGAAGAAACGGAAGACAAATACCAAAACCCTTTTACAATGCCAGTGGCAATTCTTCTATACAAGTGAGTTTTTTGTAATTTTTATTGTAATACTTAGTTTTTGGTGTGGTTGTATTAAGAATACAGACCAAATATTATGATGAAATGAAAATGCACGCAATGAAAATCCTCTTTTACACATAAGCTTAGTAAGCCTCAGTGCCACTAAATCAAAACGAACTTTCTCCTTTTCCCCACTTCTCCGTGTAAACCACACTCTTGCTGAGTAAGTCTTGTAGACCTGTCATAAAGTCTAGGAGACTTTCATTTGCGGTAGTATTGTTTAGAGCTTTTTTCCTTCTAGCACAGAGAAATTATCCAGGGATTTACTACTTTGTTAAACTTTCTTTTAGAGTTGCTTGCAATATGATGCTGAAGAAAAACCAGAACAAGAAACACTATGGCACTATCAGAACATTGCTTCTTAATTGTCTTAAGTTATTGGACAATGGCAGACATCCTCAAGTAAGAATTACGTGTTTGCTTGTAGCTTTGTGTAAATATGATAGGAATGCTGTCACTGTAATATACTTGGTAATATTTTGTGTGGTACTTCCTCCTCGCTTTGCAAAGGAGAGAATTTAAATTTGTTTATTAACTTAGAAGTTGATTATGTTTAAAGAAGCCCCAGACTATTTTATTTTTTTAATTAGTAAAATTAAATTAGTTCACTGACCCTCGTTGCTGCCTGAGTCTTTTGTCCTCCTCTAAAGAGGAACTTGTCATTACATTTGCTCTTTTAACTCGTTCCGAAAGAGCCCTTTTGTGTTTGGAAACTGAACAGACACTGAAGCAGATCCTAGCTAGACAGTCTCCAGGGGTTCCTTCCAACCTCAACTCTTCTGTGGTAGATGGGAAAGTCAGAAGAAGAACCTCGAACTCTTGGTCTCTTTATTAGACCATTGTATCACCATCAGTACCTTGAGATGCTCTGCACTTTCAGAAGCAGTAAGAAAAGTAATGGAAAGGAAATGAAGCTGTATTGACCTCCTTCATTCCAGATACTTGATTCTGGTTCTTTTCTAAGAAAAACAGGAATCCAATTGCTCCAAAAGACAAGTAGTTTATTAAAGTTTAGGGAGGTAAAGAAGGTGTGTATGTCTTAAGTATTAGTGCTGCCAGATGTGCTAGTGTCCTTTTTGGTTGCAGAAGGGTAATGGAGTGTGCTGCTTTCTCGTTGGGATTTTGACTGAGTCTATACACAGTCTCTTCCTTGTCTTAAATTGAGAAATCTGTAGGTTCAGAATGTGCTATAAGGGAGTGTCAGTGCATTTAGACAAAAAAGTGAACTGGGATACTGCAGGAGGCTTGGAAGTTGATTGGGCAGGAGCTGCTTTAAGCAGGCTATGGTACACTGACATGGTAACTTAACATTTTTGCCATTTATAGGCAATACATCATAAATGTCAAAAAGAAATATCTATACTGAAACTGAAATCTAATTCAAAGTATAACTTAAATGTACATGTAAGTGGTCTAGATTAAGCTGTTTTCAACTGGAAAAAAAAAAATCCCAAAAAAGTGATGTGGAAAATCTGATTGGAATTTAAAATGGATTACATGAGGAGACATGGCATATATTAACTAAATTAATAAGTATTTTGTAGATTACTGCTAAGTTGTGGAAAGCTCTCAAAATCCTACTAGAAGCTTTTGAAATTTTTTTTTTTGCTTGCATAAGATCCTGGCTCTTGTGACCTACAAGCTTTTAGAACAGGTGATACTCATTCTCTACCAGTTGGTTTTTTTATTCTCTTCTGAACTTGATCAGGCTTGGATCCTTTTCCCTTTCCTATGTGGTATTTTTAACTCCATAAGTAACTTTTTAGTAGGGCAGGAGAGAATGCTTATTTGAGCTGGTTAATTAAATTCACACTCCTGCACAGTGGTGGCCTCCTTTGACTTCTCAGCAGTTGTATATTGGTTCAGAAAACAGCCTGGTATGGTAACTAGTTTTCTGGGATTTTTTTTTTTTTTATCACTTCTGCAAAAAGCCCTCCAAAAATACATAAGAAGTGTAAAATGTTGTTTGGTTGGCAGTTCAGCCAAGCGTCTGATGCCGAAAGGTTGCTGTTCTGATGGAAAATTACTTGACATAGCTTCCATGATACAGCAGTGCTACCGTGGAGAGCTTGTATCTCAGTTCTGGTTTGTATGAGATTGCTGGACTGTATTCTAGTCCAATCTCACTAGATTCCAGCAGAACCAGGAGCTGGAACATGCCCTTTACCAGAACCAGGAACTGTAAGTAACCACGCTGTCCGAAGTAGAAGGCTTCAGTGGCATTAAATGTAGTATCTTTTTTTTGAACTGTTAGGAGTAGAGAGGATGTTGGGAAGCAGAAGAAAGGAATGTGGGCACAATTTTTCTTGTGACTATTTTTTTTTATTCTTGTTACCCCCTGGCTACCCTACTGCTGTGTCTTACAAGTTGCTCTTGACGCTTTTCTAATATTCAGAATGTTCAGGAAGTAAAATGCAGGAGTTGATAACCCCAAGATGAATTTCAGGGGAGTTAATTGTGAGTCCTTCACTTGACACTCACTCGGCATTGGAGGGAAAAAAGGTATCTCAGAAGTGAGAGATTCCACTCTAAAAATGTGTTGTAGAACTTATGCCCTGTCACAATCACTGTGTGTTTGTGTGCATGAAGCAATAATGCAAGTCTTTTGGGAGTCGGATCCTTCTTAGGGTACCTAAATCCAAAAGTTCAAGCCTGAAAGCTATTACTTAGTATTTGCATAATCCTGGAGCTACATCAGAGCGAGTAATTTAAGGTGGGCCCTAAGCACTTAGTATAAAATTGTTCATTCCAATTCAGGGGCCAGGTGTCCAAAAGCAGGTCACTTTAAGACATGTATGTGTGTGTGGTTTTGGTTTTTTGGTTGTTTTCTTCTAAACTGGATCTGATCTAAATTTCTTAGCAGACTTGACTCATTTCTTAAGTGTCAAAATTCCTTGTGATTGGAGTGTGGGAGCTTTAGGAGTGAGAGTTCAGTCTTCAAGTAAACTTAAGGTAGAAAGAAAAAGGCTTAACACTTATTGTAAGGATTATTATTGTATTGCTCTTACTGGTTTAATCGCTAGGTGTCTTTATGGTTCCAAAATAACCTTTTCTCTAAGGGTTTCTGCTCTTAAAATTAGAGGAAAAAAGTGTATGTATGTGTGCCTGTCGTGTGTATACGTGTTTCTCATCTTGCTGTTGCTGTCTTTGATGTGAGTGTTGAAGTGTTCTGGAGGGCAGTCTGATGCCGGACCACGTTGCCTTCCAGGTGTTCATGTTCCTTCTCTTTTGCATGGAATGGGAGGAGGTTATGGAGCGACATGCCCAGGACTGTGTAGTACAGTTAGGCAAGAAATGAGGATGAACTTTGCATCTTGCATTGAGGCTTTTTATTTCTGTATAAAACTGAACTGAAGCAGGGGACAATGCTGCTTGTTTTAGGCTATGAGGTTATGGAGCGACATGCCCAGGACTGTGTAGTACACTTAGGCAAGAAATGAGGATGAACTTTGGTGCATCTTGCCTCGAGGCTTTTTATTTCTGTATACAACCGAACTGAAGCAGGGGACAATGCTGCTTGTTTTAGGCTATGACCAGTGTGTGTTGTATTTCTCCTGACTTAACTATATATTTTATTTCCTTTCTCACTATAAAAAGCAAGATAGAGTTACCTCTGCAAGTATATGCTGTTTGTGTCCTATTTGACCTCTTCAGTTTCAAATTGAATCTCTTATTTGATGGGTTGTCAGTTTTGGTGGGGTTTTTTTGTTGTTTTTGAGAACTTGAAATTGATTTCTTAGTGCTCTTTAGTACTGTGGATGTTGCTGCTGCTACAGGATAGTTTTTAAATGCTTGTATCTAGTATCTCTTCTTCCATTGATGTATTTTGAAACTCTGGCAGCATATAATATTAAAGTACATAAATTAATAAACTGAAGAGGCGGGAAGAAATGAAACGCAAGCCCCTGAATGCTTAGCCCTACCAGAATGTAGCTTTCATTAGTTCCTCATTTTTCTCCATGCAGCAGTAGTCCAAAGAAGAGAAAGGGTGAATACCTCCTTACCATCAACTAAGATAGCTGCTGTTTTTTTCTTCTGCCAGTTTTTGCCTTTCTTGCCTGAAGTAGAACAAAAGTCAAGAAGGTGAAAGCTGATCTGCAAGGTGGCATAGCTGCAGTCTAAGAGAATCTGTAGAACTCAAAAGACGCAAATAAACAAGAAGATTTTTTTAGGGTGGCGCTGAAAAGAAAGAAATAGGGTGATCAAAGGCTGCCCTTATTTATTTAAGGAAAAAAAACCCAAAGCTGTCTTTGGTCAAGGTGGTCTATATGCCCAGGTTTACCTTTATGCCCTCACTTGCAAAACAAGAGATGAAAACCTTGTAAGGTGGGGGATGAAACCGAACATGGGCAAGCTTGATTGCAGGGCTGCATGCACATAGACTGATAGTTGATAGCATACTGTCTGCAGGGATTTGTTTCTTAAATACTGTTAAAAATTCAGTGCTCAAACGTGGTCATACAATGTGTGCGTGTACAGGCTGCATTTACAGGTTAGCAAACATCTATTTGCACGCAATCTTCGCCTCTTATTCTGAAATGGCTTATGTTGATGTTGCCTCTCAAAAGAATAATTTAACTATAAAATAAATGACTAATTTTTTTTCTCTTATTCAAAAAGATTATTGCTTCAGCAAACTACATGTTATCAGAGCTTTTTCAGTTGGATGAACCTAAAAAAGAAGACAGTACAGACTTCCCTATAAATGGAAATTCTGATGAAAGTTATAGCGAGGAAGAGGAAGAAATGCCAGACAGTGATGAAAATGGTTCTTACAGTAACAGTTCTGATCCACCAGATGACAATAAAGCAGTGGCTATAATCAAATCTGTTGGAGAGTTATCAGTACCAGAAAAGTACAAGTCTGTGCATCGAATACGTGTAAGTGAAGCTGTGGGGCTTTTTTTAAGGGTTTTCTTGAAAGATTCAGTTCATGTAGCAAGGTTTGTTATTGAAATTCAGTTACCTGTTAGCTTTGTCTTCAGCTTAACTGAAGCATGAGACAGTGGGGAAAGAAACTTTACATGAGCTGCTTGTAAAATTTGAGGTCTTTGAATTTTACAGTATAGCAGGTTTAATGTAGATTTTCCTCTGCCATATTGCACGTGTCTTTTATGGCAGGATTATTCATAGCTGGCTACAGGAAAAATTATTCCTGTCATGGCAGTAGAGAAAATATTGCCAGCTGTGGCCATGTGTAAGCACTGTAGATGACCACAAGTTTGTGTGGATACCTAGGGTATCTTAGTACTTTTTTCTGGAGCAATATTAACATTTGTGGTTTTTTTTCCTGGAAGCATCAGCTACTTCATATCCACAGAGTAGGATTTCTCTTTGACTTGTCTTTCCAAGGTAACTGGTCAAAATACAGCAATTTGATTTCCTTGAAATCTTGGTTATAGGTAATTTTTAAAGAGATGAAGCTTTACTCTGCAGATGTGTACGTGTTGTGTCTAAGGGCATAGCTGGGTGCATAACTGTAATATTCCTGAAACTTCATTGGCATACATGTGCTTCATAAACAAATCAGCAGAAGTGTCATACTTCTACCTTCATTGCACTTTCTGTCCATCATTATTGTAACAAAATAGAGGAACACAGGAAACTGGGAAGATCAGCAAATAAACTGTTCCTAGCATTTTACTTTTCTTCTGATGTTTTACTTGCCTTATCTATATAGGGATACGATTATGAAATTACTCTTATTGGGCAGAATCTTTTTTCTAACATCTGTGCTGAGTAGCAAAGAACAAGATTTCCTAAAAAAAATTTGTGATTCAAATGTTCTAACATTTCAAGGTCCATCAGCTGAAAATACAACTTGTACAGGTGCAGAAGCACTCAGTTTCCTCTTTCTTTTCCCCCTTGTACTCTACCCCAGAAGAAAACAAAAATACAACCCCCCCAAAAAAACCCCAAGGCATTGAGTTGTTCAAAGGTGGCGAAAGTGCAACCTTGATGTATAGGCTGAAGAAGTGATTTCTGTATAGTATTGAATCTGCCTATCTTCCCTGGTCTGCACTGCAGGCCATCTGTGGATGCTTTTGTAGTTACTGTTATGGAACAGAGACATCTTTTCTCCTCTTTGCATTGTCTTTGGGATTACCAAGACAGGCCAAGTGTAGATGACCAGGTATATGAATTGCTCGCTGAGATAAAGGAAAGAAATGCTGTTCTATTAACATGTTTTCTTAATGCTAGCTCCCATTTGCATCTTCTAGCCAGTAATTTTCAAATTTCCTATGTTGAACACTTACTCTCTTCCTTCCCTGCCGCCCGCCTCAATGAAGCCTAGCTGTGCCTTTCCTGTCTGCCATGGCACTGAAGAGCGCTGCAGGCTAGTGCTTAACTATGTCCTGGAGGTGAGTTTACTGTCAACTTTCTAATGATATTTCACCTAGTACCCAATTTTTGATGTATTCTGTATTTGCTAAATACTGCTTTCAAGGTGAATTAAGTTATTTCTTCCTCTTGCAGGGCTTGAAGTCTGTTGACAGCAGCGTTAAAAAAGAGGGTGATCTTCCTGCCGCTGACCCCAGCACTCCAATCCCATTGAAATATGAAGATGAATCTGCCAGTGGTGGTCCCGAGTGTCTGGAAAAGCAGATGGCGTTATTTTTAGATAAAAGTAAGTTGTATTGTTGTGCAAATAAGACCTTTCCAATGCCAACACAAACTGCTGCTGCTTTATTTTGATTGTCAAAACAGTGTGCTTATAAGTCACTAATTACACTATTGCCTAAGCAAAAGTAATATACTAAAAATTGGAGAACAGTCTATTCCTTTTTAAATGCGAAAAGAATGTCTTGTTTAAGATATTTTGTGAATCAAAGCATCTTTTATTAGTAAACACATAATTTTACTGGACCCTATTTAGATGTGGCTTGCAGATTACTTCCATGAAGGCTTAGTATTTTCAGATTTGGTATATGGAGCACTCTAAGTTGTGTGGGTTGTTTTTAAAATAGTCGTGGGGGTTTTTTCTGTAACTTGGAAGTTTTGTGGAAGAACTTCTCACTTCTGGCAGGTTTTTCTCCTACATCATGCTTGCTGCTGAATTGCATGTAAAGTGGTAACTAGGATTTTATTTCCTTTCTTGTACCTCTACAATTGTGGAAAGAAGCAGTAAATACAAGATGTTTTGTTTGTTTAAATACTCAAACTCCAGAAATTTCAGACTGTAGTCTGTATATTTTTCTCTGGAGTGCCATAAAAGGATATAGGAAAGACTCTTCTGAAAGTAGTAGAGTTCTGTGCAGGATGAGAAGCCCTATAAACATAACCCAGAAAGAAATTTAAGTCTTGCATATTTTTACAGTTCTTTATTCTTTCCTTTCTCCTCCCTTCCCCCTTTGAAAATATCTAAATAATAAGCAAGGTTGGTTTTGAGTTACTCATTTAAGTGCTCTCTTGTTTCTCTTCCAATTTTATGATTATCTCTTGAATGTCAATGATATGGAAATGTATGCATGCATACTTAGTTTTTATCAGATATGTGACGACAGAATTTAACACCTTCATCAAAGTTACATTGTGTTGAGCTTGCATAAATTCTGCACGGTACTGTGAATATTGACTGTAAGACTAACTTTTACCAAGGTCTACTAAGAAATTTTACCTCTGGCAGCTCAGCAAGAACAGTGTCCTGGTCTCAGCTCTCCTGTGGCTAGGCTCTCTCTTCTGCCTTCACAATTTGGAACTGATGACACATTGCAGCTGCTTGCCATCTGGCAAGGAGAATCTCCACATATTAACTTTTTCGGTTTAGAAACAAGTGTTTCCTGGGGGATGTGGGAGGTAAATATTGCACAGATCTCAAAAAAAAAAACAAACAAACACTTATTTGATTTCTGGATCTGTGGTGGACTTCTTCCCTGAAGTAGCAGTGGTGCTACTTGTTTAGGTCATAAGGATTGAATTCAACCTAGAGAAAAATAGTTCAAACATAAGGGAGAAACTTGTGTTTCTTCAGGATGTGAGTTTGTTTTCTGTGATGCAAATTACGTAGTTTCTCTGCTACATGTGTATGTTTACATACATAGAAAGGATAATTGCTCTTAATTCTTCAATTTTTAACTTCAAGAGAACTACTTCTGAATAGCATATGGATACAGTATATGTGCATTTTGTGTCTTTAACTGCATGAGGCGTTACTGGATTAGATTTGTCTTTGTCCTAATGTAAGCATGTAGTTCTAAAAGAACTTACTAGAGGTAGTGGGCTTGCATGTCAGGCCTTGTAGACCCACCTGTAAGCAAAAGACTCATTGCTGTGTGCAGATACTGTCAGGACAAAATTCTGTTCTTTGATATGCCTGAAGTCAGCGGCCTGTTCTTTCTGGTTCCATAACCACTGCAGCATCGAAGAAGGAACCTTCCTAATCTCATGCTGAGGGTGTCTTGAAACGAGTGTGAGAGACATTGGTTTTCCTTGTGGGAAGGACCAGGCTATGCAGACCCTTCTGTGCTGGAGGCTAAACTCACAAACAGAGGCTTTCTCACTTTTGAGACTGCTCATACGGAAACAGAGCATGTATCATAAGGATTTGGTGGAGAACATGACAAATTATGCCTGTGGCTTTCTTGTTCTTATCTACTGGTACCTAACGAAATAGTCTTGGCCACTGCACCGGCATTATAAAAGCTGTTTAAAGTATGATAGGTGAGCTGCATTGTCACTGTGCTCACTGTATTCGAGCATCCCACTATCAGGTGGAGTATATGGAAGACTTCCAAGTATTGGGTCCATTTTGCAGATGAAAAATGTAGTGGCAGACAAGTTGGCATAACTCTACTTGTGCAGAGCTGTAATAAGGCAATTTACATTCTGTCTGTATGCTGATGAAGTTGTGTCCAACCTCTGGCATATGTTATGGAGATGAGATTTACTGATGAGGTTCTGTTCGTGTTACAGTGGGTTCATTTCAGAAGGATAAGCATTCCAGTCAGTCAGGAATGATTCCTGGATCGTGGCAATATAAAATGAAACTCCAGCTCATTCTGAAATCATCAAAGGCTTATTATGTCCTATCTGATGCTGCTATGATTCTACAGAAATATGGGAGAGCATTAAGATACATCAAGCTGGCTTTACAGTGCCATGGTAAGTTGCTAGAATGTATTTGTCATCTGTACCGTTGCCTCTATATACCTTTCATGATATCACATGCTTCTCTTTGTGCATGATTTATCCTAGTGGTGTGCAGTGACAAGTCTTGACAACCATGTGTTTAGCTAAGCTAAGTGTCTAGCTCATTATTCAGGAGGGGAGTCTGTAGTAAGGATAACTCTTGTCTCTCGTAGAAAGGTGCTCCTGTTTTGACAGATTGGGAAACTCTGAGTACAGATTTGGAATTTTGGAGCACTTGAAGTTGGGAGAGTCAGTCCTGCTTTCAAGACCAAGATAGTATTCTGTGGTCTAAGTGCTATCGCTGCAAGCAGATGCTTTTTCCCTGGAAATGCCTGGTGGTTCCTATTTCATTTAAATGGTATTTCTGAGAGTCAGGAGTAAACTTGTTCATGAACTGAATTGGATGCTCCTCTAAAATGAAATACATCTTCAAGTATTACCGAGGAAAATGAAGTAAAATCAAGCTGTTTAGAATATTACTACCATAATGAGAATAACTAATTGGAAAATGCCATTAGCTTAGTACTGTAGTGCTGCTATTTTGCTTCCGTATTTGTAGGACTTGGGGTGTGAGGAGGCTTATAAAGCAAGAACACTTGGATCTTAACACAAAACATCAATATGCTTATCAATAACTCAAAGCATTCTTCAGCTTTCAGTCTTTTAAAGACTTGCGAATTGAGTTTAAACTGTACCTTTTGGAAATTGATTTTTCAGGCTATATCTCATTTGAGTTAATCTGTAGAAAGTCAGTTTTCCTTTAGTCAAATCTGAGATTAGCATTTGTAATTACCAGATTCACTGCTCACCTTGGTCAACATGGTTGCTCTTCTGAAACTGTCAGCTGTGTAGAGCAACTATGACTTTAAAATAGGTTAGTTCTCTTAGAAGAACACGTGTTGTCTGCATACAGAGAATAAGTGTGACAGATAACAAAAACCAATTATATTGTCAGTCTGTGTCAAACCTTTTGACATTTAATTCTTTTCTGTTCCTCTTCCCTCATCCTTGGGATTATTTTTTTTTCTAATAGATACCTACTGTTGTCTCTGCGCCAGCATGCTTCCTGAAGTATTAGTATTTCTTTGTCAGTGTTTAACCCTTTGTGGAGATATCCAATTAATGCTTGCTCAGAATGCAAATAACAGAGCAGCATATCTTGAAGAATATAACTACCAGACAAAAGAAGATCAGGAAATATTACACAGTCTTCATAGAGAATCCAGGTGCCAAGGTATGATACTGATACAAGATAACTGCCATGATTCAGTTATATGACAGATGTAAGTAATTTTGTTGTGCTTCCTCAAAACCATGCACTAGTAACGTTTCTGGAGGAGAGTTTATTACGCTTCAGTTCTGTTTCCCTCAGAGAAAGCTAATCGTGCTTGTCATTCATAAGGAAGTCGTCAAGATACCCCATGACATGCCTGAAGCTGTAAAATAACTAAAGACAGTAATTGTTTAAGAAATGGATAAATTTTACTTACCTGTAGGGATTGTGGGATCGTTCTGATGTGGGTCTTATACTTGGTCATCTTTTGGGGCATTTTCCTCTAGACTATCACAGATTTAAGCTTGTTTGGAAATACTGTTTGACATGCAGGCTTTGTGTTTTGTTTTCTAGTGTTTGCCTGGGCTACGGACTTGTCTACAGACTTGGAATGCCAGCTTTCTGTCAGCTGTAAATGTTATGAAGCAGCTAATGAAATTTTACTTTTCAGTAATTTAAAAAACCAAAATCCGGAGCAACATGTACAAGTACTAAAGAGGATGGGTAATATCAGGAATGAGATTGGAGTGTTTTACATGAACCAGGCTGCTGCAGTGCAGACTGAGAGAGTAGGCAAGTATTCTTTATTTCCACTTCTTACTATTTCACAGAGCTACAGCAATGATCGTGTTCGCTAATAGTGTGAGAAATCTTGAGTATTTCTGATTATGAAGACGACATTTAAAGAACTTCGTAATAAATACTTTTCTGTAATTAATGTTATGTACCTTTAATGTCCATTGTAAATATTTCTCCACGATAGATTACTGTGGCTTGTACACTGTACTTAACTGAGCCTAAACTGAATAATGGAATCTATAGATTTGGAGATATTCCTTTGAAGTGTGTAGAATGCCTTCAAAAAACATGGATGGAAACTTTAAACCAACTCTGTTATAAAAGGGAGGGTGTGTTGTGTTCTTGATGTGTTCGGTTTAGCCCAGCATGAAGAAGCGTAAGCTTGATTGAAATGTAAGAATAGTTTCAGTAAAGTCAGCCTGTGATGATTTTTTTTTTTTTTTTTTTTTGGTAAGTAAATTCTTGGAAGGTTTGCTTCTGGTTTATTTTTGGTGAGGTTTTTTTTTGGGAAATGGAGGTTGCCTAAGCTGCTTTCTAGGGTGAGGTGTTTGGTGGGTTTTTGATTCTGGAAGCAAACCCAATAATGTCTTGTCTACAAGTAAAGAGTTACATAAACTAGAGCAAATTAGATGCTGGCGGTTCAGTCTAAACAGCTCCAGTCTCCCAAATACTAGCTGTTTTCTGTGACCTTTGTCCAATTAATATTTGAGGGATTTTGGGTTGGACTTTCAATTTTGTAACTTTTCATCATCTCAGTGTTTTTGCAGAACTACTGTTTAGCTGAAATCAAAGCTCAAATACTGAATTTCACTCATCTGTAAAAGTCGCTTTTTACTTGTTTCATACTGTAAGTTTATAGAAGTAATGTCAATACCTTGAATATTACAGTCGAGGGAAGAAAAATACCTATTTTATCCTGTTAGTTTTCCCTGTTTTTCGTGTGTTGCATTATCACAATTCTTTTGAAAGTATAGTGTGTGTAATAGTGCCTTTTAGGTATTAAGATTTTCATATGTTTGAGGTTTTCCTAAGAGTATTTTCCATGAATTGGGTTTTCAGAATCACTTACCACCCCTCAATTCTAAAAGGTCGTTTATGAGAAAAAGAACATGATGGAAATGTTTGTTCAGTATCTTTCAAGAACTTGAATGAGACTGTAAGCCTTGTGTCTTAATCCTAGTGAGTAAAAACGTATCAACGACAGAGCAGCAACTCTGGAAGAAAAGCTTCTCTTGCTTCGAAGAAGGAATTCAGAATTTTGAATCAATTGATGATGCAACCAATGCTGCTCTTCTGCTGTGCAACACAGGAAGACTGATGCGAATTTGTGCTCAAGCCCACTGTGCAACTGAAGGTGACTTCAAAAGAGAGTTTTCCCCAGAAGAGGCCCTTTATTATAATAAGGTAACATCATACTATTTTTAGAATGGCCTTTACCCTAATTTCACTGTAGAATATTTGTAAATATCTTTGTAAGTATCTGTAAGTCTTGATGTAATAACTTGGGATACCTCTCCTGCTTTCATATTACCCTGATCCTTGCTGTATGGGCTTCACTGTTGCTGTTGAGGTTTGATTCCGTTGCTCTGATGTAAGAAGTGTTGTGACATTCAGATCCTGATGTTTAATGGACCGCAATACCGCACACAAGGGAGATAGAAATGTGTGGTCAGGATTAAAGTTATGACCAAAATGGGTGTAAAGAAAACACTGAAGAAGGCTCAGGTAGATATTTTGGAATGCTTCCTTGAGAATGAGTAAAGGGAAATTAATTTCTAACTGCTATAAATACAGGCAATAACTATGTATATGTATTATTTTGTCATCTGTAGGCTATTGACTACTATCTGAAGGCATTAAGATCTCTAGGTAAGAGAGATGTGCATCCAGCTGTTTGGGATTCTGTGAACTGGGAGCTGTCTACTACGTATTTCACTATGGCAACTCTACAGCAGGATTATGCTCCGTTATCTAGAAAGGCTCAGGAACAGGTAATAAAGAGCGTTCGTGACAACATCTGAAAAAATAAGCTATTATCTTCCTGAAAAACTGAACAGTCAGCAAAACTGATCTTGGAATAACTTCTAAACCTTTATTAGATAGAAAAATTTCTGTGAAGTATTTCTGGCAAACTATAAAATGTTTAGTCACTTGCATTTTTTTAAGGTTTTTCTTAAAAGGTGATGCCACAAACGGGGGTTTAACCCTTACACTTGTACATAGTGGTGTTCTAGTTTCAGTGTAACCACACTGCACCTCTTTGTTTTAATTTGTAGATAGAGAAGGAAGTTAGTGAAGCCATGATGAAGTCCTTGAAATATTGTGATGTTGATACAGTGTCTGCACGACAGCCTCTCTGCCAATATCGGGCTGCAACCATCCACCACAGGCTTGCTTCAATGTACCACAGTTGCCTGAGAAACCAGGTATTAGTACAAACTGTGTTGGTTTTCTGTGTAGGTTCCATACTTAACATGTCCAATGTGTGTGAAGATTGATATTAATCCTTCTACCTGTAGTTGGTTAAATCATTTCAATAAACATATCCCAAAGAAATGCGAGGTGGTTTATTTGCAAGTCATTTTGAAATAAAATGTTCTTTTTAAGTGTAGCCTGTCCTTTATAGTGTATTGAGCTTTATGGTTCTGTCTGTTCTGGGGAGTTCCAAGCTCTCCTAACAGAAGCCATTGATGATAAATATTTTCCTTGGTTTGATTGTGTGTCCAAGGCAATCTTCTGATACTTGAGCAGCCAGCCTTCTGCTAGACCATTAACATATAATTTATTAAAGCCTTAGTGTAGACTTGCATGTCACTTTCTGTTTTCTTTTTTTTTTCCCCCAAATTATTATTCTTTAATAATTTAGTTCTAGTTGGTGTGAATTTTTTAGCATTAGCTATAAAATTACAATAGCTTCAAAGATGGCAGGCTGGTGATGTATTCTAGAAACATGCAGACGTTTAGATGAACAATTCTGAAATGAGCCTGGGAACAATTGTTGGTACCTCGTTTACCAACATAGGCAGTGTTTTTTCTAATGATTACCTCACGAACATGCAAACTGTCTGAGATTTACTATGTACCCTACTTTGAGTGCAGGTTGGTGATGAACATTTGAGGAAGCAACACCGCGTACTTGCTGATCTTCATTATGGGAAAGCAGTACGACTCTTCCAACTCTTGAAGGATGCACCCTGTGAGTTCCTTCGTGTGTTTAGTGGCATTTGCAGAATTTCAGATGGCAAGTAAGTCTAGCTCTGTCTTACTGCAACAGCTTTCCAAAAGACCATTACCAATTTAATTTCATTTTTTAATAACTTTGTATATGAGAGCAGGAGTAATCTGCGTCTCAAAATAGAATTTTCTTCAAGAGAGAAGAGACATTTTTATTTTACTGTTTTTCAGCTGACTGGGACCGTAAGTGCTTTTTCTTATGAGAACTCTTGAAATCTTTGGGTGGAAGAAAAAGTGTAATGTGTAACATAAGCCATCTGTGTCCTTAATTTTTACTTTTTTTTTTTTTTAGGTCAGAACAGTAGTGCTGGGAAATTAAAGACTTTGTTTGGGGCCCTAGATATAATGGTGAAAACCAAGGGTGCATTCCAGCTCATCAGAAAGGAGCTTGTGGCAGAAAGTGAACAGGTAAACAAAAGTCAAGAAGTGCAATTATCTGTTCCCTTGTATCTCTTGCATTCGTGTCAGACTGGTCATTTGGCAATTAAGATACTGCTTGGTTACTTCTCAGTAGAGCTAGGTGCTTAGTGTGGACAGGGTTGGAACCTCCTGCAGTTCTCTTCTAGCCTTTAAGTGGATGAAAAAAATCATTCTAGAAGATGACCCAGCGATGGATTAAAACAGATTTGTATATGGATGTATACTGGCTGACTGTCCGAGCGAATGGAGTTCTGTGCAACTCTGTATTGTCCCTTATTGTCCCTTAAAAGTCTTGTTAAAGAACCTAAGAATGTATGTACCATACAAATGGGAATTCTCTCTAGCTAGTATATTTAATATTGAAATATAAAAATGTGGAAGGCCATCTGTAGCTAGTGTTAATAGGTTCTTGATGCCTAAATAAATAATTACTTGCAATATATGCTGACATGTGTTCATCCCTTGCTGGCAATTTGAGCAACAGATTGAGCAGTCAAATCTGTATTTTGGTGATGTTTTTATAACTAAATACACCAATATGTATGTACGACATAGGCCGTGGACATAACTTGTGTACAGTATGGATGTGAACTAACTCCTGCAGCATCATAAACAGGGTGTCATGGCAATTGTGATGCTGGTACCACACCTGTAAAGACTAAGCTAACCTGCAGATGTGGTTGTCCAATTTAACTGAACTGTGTTTAAATGGTGGAGTTCAGTGAAAGGGTTTTTGTTTCTTTTCTTCTTGTAGATTAGCAAGGATGGAAGTACTGCTGAGAATATGTCACCTAATGATTCCTCTGGCCTTAACAAAGAAGAAGTACTGAAACTCCTTAGTATTTTTGAGTCCAGAATGTCATTCCTTCTCCTCCAATCCATTAAATTGTTAACTGCAACCAAAAAAAAAATTGGGTAAGTTGAACCTTGATATGCGTTTGTAGATGTGATTCTCATCCATAAATCCATACCAACTATGTACTCTTAGGCATGCAATAAAGTGTGATATTTATTCTCTTACGGAGGTGGTTCTTCTGTGTGGAGAAGGAGCCGAGATACGCCTTGATCACCTAAACACAGAATTTTTTTCTGTGTTTTTGTGTGTAATTGAGGGAATGGCCAAGAAACATCTTTACTGTGTGTGTCTAGGCAGCTTTTTTCTCTCCTCTTTCCTGATAGCAGTGCAGGACTGAGCGAGGACAAAAAAGTCAGACTTGAATGGCTGTATTCAAATAGGAAAGTAATAGTTTGTAATCATCGTCTGAAATGCACAGTAGAGTTATGAATCACTGACGCTTTATTATGCTGTGTGATATCTAACTTACCCTTTAGAGGAGATAAATCATACACTCTTTGTAGCTGTAAATTCACACACAAAGCAGTTTTACTTGTACTGCCGTAATTTTGCTGGTGTACTTCTCATTGTGTTGGGTTTTGGTTTGTGGTTTTTTTTTTTATCAAACTGTTTGTTCAGGGAATGAGGTCCATGTATCTGGCATCCTTCATCTTAACTGATGTGGGTCTTCATCTGTGACGGAGCACTTGAAAGTTAGTGAGGGAGAAGCTACTGTGTACTGCTGATCTTCTGATGTATCTTGGGGATAAAATATATCGGCGACAGCGTAGTTTAGCAAGCAAAATACATCAGAATAAATGTTGGCACATCAGTAATGCTGTAAATAGGGATGTATATGGGGAAGATAGGCATTAGAAAATTCTTTAACGCCAGTGACTAATGGAGTGCAGTGAAAAAAAAATAATGTTCTGTCTTGCTGCTGGGATTTGGAACAAACGTGGCTTCTCCTTTTTGTTGGGATTAGGTGTGACAGTGTAATTCCTTACACCGCTATTGCTTCTGTTGGTTCGATTTGAATGTGGGTGGTGGTGGTTTGGGGATCCAGTAGACCTTTTATTCCCTCAGCAGCAAATGTGTTTGATTGCAGAAGCTACAGCAGTATACCGTTGCTGTTTCTGATGTCACATAAAGTTAATTTATGAAAATGTGGCATTAGTTCTAGTGTATAGTTCTAGAGAGTTCTTGTTGGAAGTTGTGTCAATAGTTTTTTTGGATTGAAGCACTGATGCTGCAAGTACTGATTTGCTGAAAGTAAACTGTGAAATTAATTCACTCTGCACAGTAAGTTGTCTGCTGATAGGAGGAGACTGATAAATAAAACCTGAGACAAGAAGAAAGCCTGTGTGCTTTCTTCGCAGTGGCTTAGGCAGAGTGTTAGGTGCCATCGCTTTTTTAAAAAGAGCTTCCACAAGGTGGCAATCTGAATATGTGAAATGCAGGGGATTAAAGTATAATCTGTATGTAAGTGAGTAGATGTCCCAAGTAACTGAGTAAATTGTTTTAGTTCTGTTGTCTCATAACATGGGTAAATATTGTAAACCAAAAAATTCTTCATTTTTTTTTTTGTTTTGTGGTTTTTTTTCGCCCTGTTTACTTTCTCATCATTGTCTCCCTTTGTTTCGTACTGAAATTCCATATAGGGAAGGTGTTACAGTTTGACTGCTGTGAAATGGGCCTGTTGTTACAGCATGTTAAATGTTTTTAAACAATGGTGGGTTGAGGCTAAGCTTAAAACTACCTCTTGCTCAACCTTTCCAGTACCTTGTGTACCTCTCGCCTATGTTTCCTCAGTTCTGCTTTGTAGAAGAAGGTAACGTCTGCCTCCTGTTTTAATAATAGCCTGAAAGGGGAGGAAATGGGAGCTCGCAAATGCTGTTTCAGGGTCTCAGATGCACTTTGGCAGAGAACAGGAGAACATGTGGTAAAATTAATGTTTGATAGTGAAACTTGCAGACTAGCAATAAAACTGGATGAAATCAGAGTTTTACCCCCTAAAAGCTAAATGCATAAGCGTAACTGAACTTGGCTATGTAAATCGGAGGAAAGAAGTAATTGAAAGTAATACTTTGTTCTGGGAATTCTTGTAACTTATCCTGGAAATATTTTGCATTTCAGTGGCTTTTTACTGACTACCTGTTCTGTTTAATGAATAAACCTGTCTGATTTCTGCCAGGCATTAGGAATTTAATTTGCTTCACCATTTCTTGGTAATTCCCAAAGCACTGGCAATTAAACCGACTGCTGCCTGCGCACATGTATGCTTAATTTATTTATAATGTACGCTTAACTTATTTATAATATCAATGGCAGCATTTTTATTTTTCTTTTTTCTAGTTTGGGTCACTTATTTATTAGTCTTGGGTACGAAATGTAGCAGAGCAGGGTGGCAAAGAGGAGGGCTGACAGCGCTGAAGCAGGAGAGCAGCACACGCGTGAAGTGATTTACGGTATTTGTCAAATGGAGAAAATTGGTGGGAGCTTAGGCTGCAGCCTGGCAAAAGAGGAAAAAGCTCTTTGGTGTAGAGGTATTCAGCACGGAAAATCCTCCGGCGTAGGGAAACAGCTTAGATGTATGGAACTGGAGAGGAGGCGGCCAGATCGTGGGCTTCAGACTTGAACGGGAAAATGGTGTCTGCAGCAGTTTAGAGGGGAGAGCTAATGGCAGGCACTGGCACGGGAGCAAAACCACCGCGTCTCCCGAGTCTTCAGGTGTCTGTTTGCATTTGGCGAGAACAGATTAGACGCTAACTTAGACAAAAGTACAGAGTTTTGGCATGGAGATCTGGGTTTGGAGGGTTTATGATGTGATTTGGGATTATGAGTTAATAAAATGGCCAGACTGAAGCTGAATAAAAATCAGAACACCTTATCCCTCCTGCAGTATCAACAGAGGCTCTGACCGCAGTGCTGTGGAATGGTAGGAAATAAAGAACTAAGGAAATAAGAGACTCAAAACACCAGCTGTGTGGTTTCAGCGGGATAGTCATCGATGTTGTTATTGACTATTTGTTTTGATCATTTGCAGAATAAAATATTGTGGTCAGGTTAATAGTTTGTATTACCTGTTTTCTTTTTAGGGGCATTAATGAAGAAGAAGTTGTTCTTAAAACAAACAAGCAAGTTTACTCCCTGCTGTTGCGTGCCAGTGCCAACAAAAGTATGACACTGCTAGAACGAATAGAGGTAATCTTAAATTTACTGGAACAGCTGTCTCAAAATAACGAAGCTAGTAACGGAGGAATTCAGTGACTGAAATGCTGCAAAATGGCAGAAACGGTGCCTTGCTCTGCGTGGGATCTGTGGTATTTTTTCCCATGTGATGTTTGTATTTATTGAAGGTGAGACTATTGCCTACCCGGTTACATCGTGTGTCTGGGAAAGAACAGGAGTTCCTCTTCATCCCACCAGAACTCTGTAACCGCTCGGTTCCTAGCGTTTCTTTGTTTGAAATGTCAAATTGGGGTTCTGGATATAAATGTAACAATTTTCCCTGTTGGAGAAGGTCACAGTTTTTCTCTTGCAGATAACCGGCCTTTGCAGTGATATAAAAATTTTGCATAAAAATCTAATCTCACAGTTGCTCTGGGTGGATATTTAATGAAATACACTTTGTAAGCAAGGCTTCGCCGAAATACTTTAACTGCTAACGTGAACCGCAGTTGTACAAGGAAATTTCTGGTGAATATGTGGACACTACTTTTATTACAGTTACTATCTTGCACAAAAATGTGTGCCTTTCTAGCTTTGTTGCAAGACTCTTGCAAATATTAGCCATCACGGGGATTTCACTTACCCCAGCAAATGAATGGTTTTAGCTGTGTTTGACTTGATCAAGAATAGTATTATCTTTTTCAGACTTGAAACTGTGAATAAATGAGAGCATATTTTTAAATAAAAATTTATTTATTAAACTCATGAATCAGTCTGCCTTGGTTTTTTTGGTTATGACTGTTATGACCCTCATCAAAGAAACAAACTGCTCAACAGAATTAAAACCGCTGGAAAAAATCTGTAAGATCAGGCCTAACAAATGAGTGTAGTCTTATCTTAGCATGTGAGGACACTCCAGTTTTTTGGAAAGATGTATTATTTAAAGTTTTCAAAAAATATCACATCTGATGTCTTAATGTTTTTATACAGTAATGAACCACATTTATTCGTAGAATAACAGTATAAAACACTTTATTTAAAGGTAGTAATACTTTTTACATGTGTGTATGTATGCATTTTTTTTTACCTCTATATGCTTAGAAGTAGTGAATTAACTATTCAAGCTGCTTGTTTTGAGGAGGGGATTCTTACTCTTACAGTGAGAGATACAGAACACCACTTTCTTTTGTATGCAGCACGTTTTCACCCAGAAAACCCCAGTTTGTAGAAATTTCTATCCTGACAATTTAAATGTGGTTTTACAAGTGCATCAGAAGAAACCTGATCTTTCTGATGCAACACACAGCACAAACGCACCTGGAAGAAGCAAAAACACCTTGAGAAAGGCTGGAAGATGGTGGGCATTGTATGTATCGGTTCTCGAACGACTGATTTGAAGAAGCAGACAGAGTGGGGCCTTGGGTTTCTGTCTTTTCCTGCCTTCCACCTGGGGCCTGGCTCCCTGCAGCACCCCGGACGGCCCCCTCACTTTGAGCAGCGGGGTTCTCAAGCAGGATGGTTCAAAGTGCTACGCGTGGTATTGTTACCTGGCAGTGGTGAGGGGCAGAAGAAATATGTTCTGGCCAAAAATCTCTTCTTCAGAGCAGGGGAGCTGAGGGGTGACCAAGCAAGACAGCTGAGGTCAGTAACAGTGTCTCAGATGCAGAGAAGAGAGATTCTTGGTTAGAGAAGCCTGCTGATTTGGCTGCTGCCAGGGTAAGGGGGAATTGTAGCTGAAACTCACTGATCAACTCCCACTTAGCAGGCTCTCTTAACGCCAGAGGTCAGCGCCTGCATGGCTGTGGTTTTCACTACATTCGAGAGGGACAGCCTCCAAGGTCTGGCCCAAAGAAATGCGTGGGACTAGAGTGTGATCTCTGGTCCTCCTGGGACTGAAACAGGTACCTAAGGGGGCTTTCTTAGAAATTTTACCTGCCTGAGTGCATTTTACTGGCATTGCACTGCACGGATCCGTGCTGAAAAGCAGTGCTTTCTCCAGAGGAAACGGGAGAACAAAAAAACCCTGACCTAAAAGGAGTGCTGTGGAAAGTAGTCAGAAGAAAACACCATCTCCTGCTGCTTTCAGAAGTTGCTGCTAGCATTGACACCAGGCCCTGCTTCTGCAGGCACGGGACTGTCGGCCAGCTGACAAGACAAGTCCATTACTGTGATGCTGGGGGAAGAGCCGTCGCCTCTTCTTGCCTCCTTGTAACAAAACGCAAGTAGTGGGTTTTTCACAAGTACTTCACTGAGTCCCATAGAACAGACCAGGTTGTCCTTGGCAGAAGGTCGCCTGCTTTTTAACGGCACAGGCAGATTTGGTATCGCAACGGCAGCCGCTGGGAGCGTGGTCTCTTCTGCAGCGCAGGCTCGTGCAGCGCTCTAAAGGCAGGTTGGTAGTGGGTACGGAATTCATATAGAATATGAATTCTGAAAAGAGGCATTCCTCAGCCCCAGCCTGGGGAGAACTCGGTGGCAACAGTTATCTGTGAAGAGTGGTTTTGGCTGTGGAAGGGTTGCCTGGGTGAAGCCAAGCCAGCCCTGTACCTCACCTGACCTGGCTGGAAAGGGATAAAAAAGCCATTCAAGTTTGCTCCCTGCATTCCTAAGCACTACTGTGCACCAAGCTGTAGAGTTGGTATTCCTCTCTGACACCCCATGGGCTGGCTGAATTTCAGCTTCAGACCTAACTGCTTGTGTGGCCGCCAGCTCCCCTCTTCTAGGGCAGATCAAGTCTTCCGAGTTACCTTCCGTCTGCCACCGGTCAAGGAGGAGCACACTACCCGAGGCAGCACATGCAGGGCAACCCCATTGCCTGCCCGAGCCCTTTGCGGTCTCCTTTTTATATTGTTATATTAAATGCAGTAAGTACGTGTTACTTGGCAACGACGGTTACTGAGAATTTCTGCTGGAGAGATGTGTAGAAATAGGTGTGAGCTGATAAGTGAGACAAACACCTCGATGTAGTTTACACTAGCAAAATCATTTGCCTTATGGTGTAAGGGAGCTTCTGTTTCCAGTTCTTGCTCTCTTCTCTTGACCCTGCTTCCCCTTCCTCCTCTGGCACTAGCTCCCACACATCTTTTCCCGGCTCTCTTCCACATCAGACACCAGAGCAGTGAGTAGTACTGCACGGGACTTGAACGGACTCCCAAATCCTCGCTCTGCCAGGGATTTATTTTTGAATGAAGAGATGAACAGTACTGCATGCTCCCTGTTATAATGATGCTACACAGCTGGATGTTAACAGTTTAACTTCAATCGTCTTAAAAGACAGGCAAAGTCCACAGTTGCTGTGTAGTCGCTCTTGCCCTTCTTTCCCTGGGGCATGGCCACACAGTCCTGCAGCGACATACAGTTACCAGAGCGATGGGAGTATCCTACAGGATGGTGGTCTTTCACAATGATGTATTCCTCCCACTGTTCCAACATCATCTTCCAGCAATTAGTACGCTTCTGAGATTCTATTTCATCTCAAGAAATTGAACTGCCTTATAAAGCAAAGTGGTTGTCTTACTGTGCCTGGGCTGAGTGATGAATCCAGAAACACTATTTGAAATGACTCCAGTTGCTCTTAATGTAATTGGGTTCCGATTAACTCTTATTCTCGGTACGGAGCATCCTGCCTAATCAGAAATTCAGGTCATATATTCAGAATTAAGCTAACAGAAATTTACAGCAAATGAGGATTTCTCTGTTATTCTATGAACCTCAGTGCTATACTAACAACAAGAATGACTTTCATGAGGATTATAATTGAGTATATTATGATTTAAATTTCCTATGAATTTCTTCACATTAGCTGAAGGTAGCATTAGTGCTAAATAGGATTACTTTTTCCCCTTTCACAGATAAACAAATAAAGCATAAACCATGTCCAAAACAGACAACTCTAACACTGTTATTAACTATGATAAGCCAGTTTATTTCTCTGTTAATAAATCCTCCTCCGTTACAGGAATAGAAACCAAAACCTAATTTTTAAGATACTGTACTGTAAGGATATTGAGTGGCAACAGCTGACTGGCAATGAGCTCCACACAGTGCAACCTCACTGCAAGAATGTCCTATTCCATCGAGAATCTACAATTATCTTTTTAATATAAATATTTGAAAAGCAGAACAACAAACAAGTAAGCTTTACAACAGAAAATAGTTCATTGTAAGCATGCTTTTCTTCTACAAAAGAAAAAGATGTGCATGGAAAACTGATTACGCAGAGAAATGAAAACCTTACCCTGTGTGCTAGGAGGTACCTGAGGTGATACACTGAATTTATTTCAACATACTACTCTGCTGCAGATCAGCCTCTCACAGTTGGTTTTCAAGGAATACCCACATAAAATATTTACACTGCACACGTGAGAAAAGGGGAATGACTAGATGCTTTAAGAGATGCTGGACAAATTCTCAATTTCTTAGACACTTCGATGCAAGCTTCTCACAGCAGGCCCTGACAAGGACAATGTTGCCTATTCCTGAAAAATACTTCCTTACAGGACAACAGATCTGCAAAATGGAAAAACCTTTGCAGCACCATATCCACCTCCAAATGCATGCCATGCTCTTATTTAGGCAAACAGCAGTTCTGCGAGCAAAGAGCTTTTTGGATCCCAGCAGCGAGGTCTTGGGGAGTCGGACTCTCTGCAGTACAGCTGACGGT